TGCGTGTGTGGCGTTGGGACTCTTAGGGCTGGTTTCTTAAACACTGACATGTTATACCTCTTCAGGTTTGTTCCTCAGATGGCTCGGACTAAACGAGAAACTTCCGCACGCGTCCAGCACGTTTAGCCCAAAGCTGCTTCAGTGAGGCCAGCTGGGCTTTACAGAAGCATTTTGGCGTTGCGGTGTAGTTTATTATTTTTCTTTCACACCCGCAGAGATCATTAAAAACCCAAATCTAAAAGGCTTTTCCCTTTTAATAATGTGGTTTAAAATACTGGAGTCGTGATAGAACTGGATCCTGTAACATGGCTTCATTGTGAGCTCCAAATTAGATTTGCACAGACCCAAACTCTACCACAGTCAGTGGATTTGGATACAGTGTTGCTGTTGTTAACACAAAGTAAAACTGGGGAAAAACTGTGGGAAACTGGAACTTAATAAATGGTAAAAGATTTACCACGACACTTTAAATTTCTTTTTCTTTTTGTAAAGAAAACATCTGCACAGTAGTCAAGCGCTTTAAAGTATGAAAATGGCAAAGATAGAAATTCCACTGCATGACAAAAAAAATGGCCGCTTTGAAGGATCAATGTGAACTTAGCCTGAAAACTTAAGGTATGTTTTGTCAGTGTGCAGGAAACCAGGTGGGTAAAAACTAATACTGATTAGTTAGCTAAGCGTTTAGCCATAGTCTCAGGTGTTCGGAGCAGAGCAAAGTCTTAAATCAACTGTTTTGATGCAAAGGTGTGTGGGCGTTACGTAGGTTAATGGTAGATTTTTAAAGGTGTGTGTTTTAAAAAATTGTCGTTTCAATATTTTAGCTGTAGGTTCAAGTGAGTTCACCGGATGTCTGCAGATGGAAGTTCCTGAAACAACCCGACTGTTCGTGTCGTGTAGGTGGGGAGGAACTTCCAGCAGGTCCCGAACCCCGGACCTCCCAAACTAGTCATTGTTTTCTGGACGCACTCAGTGTGGTTTGTTTGTCGTCCTGGGTGAATCAAAAGACAGCTGGAGCTTTACTTTTTACCAATCTAATCAGTGTAAAGCAGTGACGACTCCAGGAAGGATTCTTGGGAGTTCAGAGCAGGCGCATCCTGTTATTGTTCAGTACATGCACATCGAGTCAGTTCAGAAAGTTGTTTGTGATGTTCATGCCTTAAATCCATACCCAGTCAGGTCAACAGGGTGGTACATCTTATCTTAGGTGCGAGTGATCGATTCTGTGTGTCTTCTGCAGCGGGCACACCGGCTTCACTGCACGTACTACTTTGTTTTATTTTTTCATTTTTTGTTGTGTTGTTAAGGAAACCATATTGATTTTCAGAAGTATGTGGCAATAACAGACATTTTCACATCATGTACTCAAGCGTATGAGATGATCATTGTAGTTAGAAATGTCTGTCGTATTTTCTCGTCCTAAGTTATGTAAGCTAACATTTTTCCCCCCCCTATCATTCTTTAAATATTGGGTTTTGTGTGCAGGTGCATGCGTGTGGAAAATGCACATTTTGTTATTATTTTTTGGAATTTAATATTTATTTAAAAAGGGTACAAAAAATTTTTTGATCTGTTTTCTGTCAGGAAGGGACTTTTATTTTGTAAATCCGCGCAAATCATTAATTTCTAAATGTGCTATTTGTCAATTAGCTTCTTTTTTAGATTTTTGCCGTGTTTTCTACTCGGTGCATTTTCCTGCCTTAAGCTGTTGTCCATGTGCAACCTTTGAATTGCCGTGTGGTGCCAAAATTTGAAAAAGAGAAGTCTTTTTTTGTTTTGTTGTTGATTGATTTATCTGTAACTTATTTACAGTTCAGATTTAAGTTTTTGTCATGTTGCAGGCAACATTGCTGTTCTAAGGTTGTACATGAAGTATTTTGTAGCCTTTGGGTGCCTCAGTCTCATCCAAATGTTTTAAAATGTTGTAACTGCTGTCTTGTTTCCGTATATCTTCAAAATACCATCTGAGAGGTTTTCAACTGTTGTTACAAGCAACTAGACTCCTTTTATAACAGATGATGTAACACGTTTCGTCTCCGTGTTGGACTTCAGCTCCCATCTATTGTGTTCGCCGCCCTGCTTCACAGGACAAATGCAGCAAGTGCCTTGCTGAGGTAAAGCAGTAAGTTCCTAAAAATATTCAGATCAGGAAATCTTAATGTGTGACGTCCTGATTTTCCGCTTGTTGTATGTAGAATCTGTTTGATTTTTGTTTGAAAAACTTTGCACCTTCAGTTTAAACTCCAATCTTTTGCAATTGTAAGATTCAAAGCACGCTTAAGGGCACAAGTGGGATTTTTCTGAAACAATGGGCTATATTGAACTCATCATGAAATGACATTTGATCCTAGATTTATAACACTATAAAATGCACATTTTGAAAGGCAGATTTCTTTCTGTTGAAGTCACCTTAGAGTACAAAATAAAATCCAGATCTACTGACAAATCTTTAAAAAAATGATGTGGCTTAACAGAACAGAAGTGAACGGAGTGCAGCCCTGACTAAGTTGCTGTTCTCAGTGCTGGCTTATCGAGAAACTTAATCTTCTTGTTTTGTTTTTTTTCTTCTTCCTTCATTCTGGTTAAAGTTTGTACTTGTGATTTACTTATGGATCCCAATATGCCCTTTTGTATCGAAATGTCTTTTGACAAAATAAAAATAACTATTTTCATTTGAATCATTTGTGTCGCAAATTGTTTTTGTGTGATGTAAAGAAAATACGAGGTGTAGCTATTACCTAAGACTAATGATGCTTTCTTTTACATTAGGTAAGTCTTGTTATTACGTAGTTAAACCTTCACTAGTATTCTATTGAACCATGTTTGTTTACTTCAGAAGGCTGATTGTAATTTAGTACTATCAAAAACATTTCCCCCACAAAGGTTAGCAGTGGAAGTCGCACAGGAGCCACATAAAGTCTGTGCTATACATTTCTGAGCTAAAAAAAAAAAAAAAATTAGAGGTGGGTGGATCGATACCAACACTAGCATTGGTGTCGGTACTGATATTGGCAATACTGGCCCTGTATTTAGCTGCTATTGGATCGATACCAAACTTTGTAGTGTGGCACAGCACTACTGTGGCCACCAGACTGCTGAACACTGACCACTAACACTTCATAGACACTTCACTGTCACTTATCGAAACTACAACACGTATGCACTCCATATTGTACATAAATCCCATTTTTGCACAATATTCATCTGCTGACTTCTGTATATATATGTATGTACACCCATACATGTATACTATATGTACTGTATGTGTAGATGTATGCATAATTAGTAATGTGCATACATTCTTATATTTGTACATATATTTATTCTTATATTTCTCATATTTCTTATTCTTATATTTTACTTTGTTTCTTGTGTTTCTTGTATTTTGCACACCGCTGTTGCTTGTGAAGCTTGCACACAAGAATTTCACTCACATGTGCTGCACCAGTGTATCAGCAATGATGTGACAATAAAAGTGATTTGATACATGTTAAATGACAAGATATATGTGTTCAAATAGCATCAATTAACACACAACTTCAGTTATTTTTTTTCTATGTAATAATTCTTCATAATTAAACAATAAGAACAAGTAGTCTGATGTCCTGTAATCATTATGATGCTATAACTTGAAATACAATAACACCTTAAGTTTTTGTACAAAGTATCGGTATCAGATCAGTATCGTAGACGCCACCCTGAATTTTATCAGATCGGAAAGGAAATCAGTGGTATCACATGTCATTAGTTAAACAATGTGTATTTGTGACCTGGTAGTGTAACAGGCTACACCCTCAGCATTTTCCAAGTGGCATGTGAGGAATCTGGGTTAGACTGGCTGTAGATCAGTCCTGAAGTTAGTGATAATCATATGTTTATATGCACAAACAGGCATTTCTCTCAACTCCCTGGCATTTTATACTGTAGTCAGAACATTCAAAATAGGCCTACTTCTTTTATGAGCAGTCACTGTTTAGACGGTGACTTTTTCCTCTCCTTTCTTGTAGTTTGAACTCTACAGCCAAAGCAGTCTTTAAATGACACAAGGCAAACTCTGCACTTGCTATAGTCTGAAGGCCTTGTATGACTTCACTTGAATTAAACAGTGAGGAGACAAGCCACAATGAAATTGCTCAAATGTCCAATTAGTTTTTGAGCTTTTGAAAATGACGACACTCTGCAAAAATGGCTGTAATTCCTGAAGGGTTCAGTCCTTTATATTGACTCTAAAGGACTTTAAAAATATATCTTTAGTTCTTTGTGATATAAAAATGATAAATCATAAATGTATTCATCGAATCCTGCAAGTCCATCACCACACATTTGACTGGCTGACTCACAGTGGTGCCGTGCTGCTGCTCAGCATTTGATCACTGACATTATTGTGTTTCACTTATAGTAATGGGTAATGTGGAAGGCGTTTTTCAGACATCAGGAGATTTTTTTCCTGGGTAGACTCTGTGAATCTAACATGCATGTGTGGGGTAGCGAGTTCTCCATGAAAAGGCATCGAGAACTTCACACAGAGATGCCCCAGCTGACCTGCGGGTTCTTGCTTGCACGCTAACCACTGCACAGCTGTTTATCATATTGACGTAAATGCAATGTCGCCCCTATGCCACTAGAGGGAGCGCTACACTCTTGCAGTCCACTTGCAACATCATTCAGGGAAATGTGTGATGTGTTTGTGTTACAGAAACAGGTGGGGCATACGTTGAAAAAAAAGTAAGAGTCTGTGCAACCTTTCTGCTGATGAAAGTCAGTCCTCTGTTTGTGCTTTATTTTCCGGACCCACTAAGTGAAAGGTTTTAAAGTTTGGTTTAAAGCACGCGAACTTCATTTCATACTGTTTCATAAACTCATGGATGAACTTTGAGTGTCACCAAAATACCACAGTCTTTTATCTCAGAAGCTAAAGATGTAGACTATT